TGCTGTCACTAACCTGTATTTGTTCATGATCAGATTTTATCCTCGTTCAGTTGTCTGACAACAGAAACAGAAAAATATGTAAATGAGAAGAAATGCATCATGAATTCGGCTGCATAAAAACACAGCAACTGTGATCGCAGAGCAGGAGGAGACTGAGCTGAGGTTTAACTGCCGCCTCATACAAACATGCAAAATAGTTTTGCTACATATGTGTGAAGCTAAAGCAGAGACTAATTAAATTCATCACTAAAAAAATATTTTAAGTCATTTGAAAATAAACACAGGCATCTAATATAAATTCATATATTACATATTGTTGCTGGTAAGAACTCCAGTTTAATTAGTTTTACCATAATGGAAGGATTTTATCGACTCGTTTGGGTTCAGAAACTTCTCGAGACCCCATCAGAAGTCAGAACTGCAGTTTTGTGCTGACAGTATAATTTAACGTGAAAAGGAAATGTTGACTCTCATTTCTGTTCTCCGTCTGTCTCTGTTTGTCCGTCTCTCCCTGGCTGTCTGGACTCTTTGGTTGCAGAAGCAGGTAAGACTTCCAGCATTCATTCACAACTAAACTCTTCTTCTGTTGAACATCTGTTGGACAATAACACATTCACATTTAGTATAATACACATAATATTTTGTTTACCTGATGGATCTCGGTGGTGAAGCGTCGCAGGTGGTTCATGATATCAGTTGCTGAGATGGGAGATTGAGAGTTTGTCCTTTTTTATGCCTTTTAAATACATTTTCTTTTTAATTCCTGTTCACAGAAAGTTCTTGTTACGTTCTTTTGCTTTAGGTCGCTGAGTTAATGTTGTGGTTAAGCTGCTTTGTCTGTTGCAAAGTCCTAAATGTCTTTGCTAATGATAATAGCAAAAGTTTGTACTTTTGTTTGGCTTGTTTTGCCTTTTGTTTTATTAATGCTGTGTGATTTTACGTTTGTTGTTTTGTTTATTGTATTGCTAATGGGGATCAGAATTAAGAATATTGCTGTATTTAACATTTATAAGTGGTATATAAACATTTAATCAGTGCGTTATGACACGCTTCAAGGGGGATCATGTAGTAATGCAAGTAGATATAATAAGTAATGTATTTGTCAATAACCATCTCCTGTAGGCATCTTTAACTGGGGGCTTCTGTATAAACAGATAATGACAATATATTAAAACAGTTTTACTACTATAAAATGTGCTCATAGCTGAGTACAACTATATTAAATGTTAATATACGTCTCATAATATCACATTGCTGCTGTTGTAGTCACCGTCTCTCTCCTCCCCCGCCCAGAGCACGGTCACGCTGACATCCCGAGCTTCTACACCTGCGATGAGGGTCTGTCGGCGCTCACGCAGGAGGGCCAGGCCACGCTGGAGAGGCTGGAGGGGATGTTGGCCCAGTCAGTCGCACAGCAGTACCACATGGCCGGGGTCCGAACCGAAGAACCAAACGCACAATTTGAAGGTTTGAGTCAAACACACAGCAGCCTGTTTTTTTTCTTTTCTTTAATAATTTATTTATAACTCTTTGTATATAAAATTAAATTATAGATCAGGAATTCCCACTCGACAGACTTTCCTTCCATGTATCTGAAATATTTATCCCCAGTTCTTTACTTCAAGTTTTTCTCATATCTACAGCTGAATATTGAATGTGTTCATGAAAAAAAATGCCTGGAATTAGGTGACATTTATAAAATATCAAAGAGCAGATGTAGAACAGAAAGACTTTCAATATAATCTGAAAATAACAGAAAATGTTACTTAATAATTAGTTAATAAATGTTTCAGTAGTTGCATATAATTGTCCTTAAGCTGATTAAATGATGCACATTTTCCATCAAAAATGAATGACTATGGCAAATTGATGAAAACTCTGTAACAGTTGATAATCTGAGGACATTTCTAACTTGTTTTAGGACAATGAAACTATAACTTATCATTGCGTTTACTTAGTTTTGGGCTTTAGTTTACTGGCCAGTAAACACCGAAGGGTACGGCTCAACTTGCTTGGAACAGTTTTTTTTTTTTTTTTCTCAAAAGTAGTGGATAGTACCTGGTACTTTTTTGTTTTTACCTCGACTGAAGTTCCAGGCGAGCAGAGTTGATACTGAAAGAGAGAATTTTCACTGGAATCAACACTTATGCAACACAGGACATCCGGCACAAACCCTTCATTTTTAAATAACCAACCTACCATCAATAGTGATCTAAAAAAAACAAACAAAAAAAACAGATTTTATGAAATGGCAGCCCGCAAAACCATTCCATGATTAATTGACTACGTCTAGATGTTGCTCTCTTTGGTTGCCGAAAGGGGTGGGCTTTTCAAGGGGTGTGACCCATCCATGTGTCCTTGAGGCGTGCAACCTCTGACACATTGTAAGTCGCTTTGGATAAAAGCGTCTAATGTAGGGAACTATTCGAAAATCATGTCGCATTTCTAGTTGCCGACGAAAGGATCCAGCAAGAGCGTGTGTCGCTTTCAAGATAAAGATTGGCTAAGAATCCCTCCAAATCCCTCCTACCCTACTGCAGTGAAAAATTAACCGAGGAAATTATCTGATGCCAAAAGCGAGCCGAGCCAGACCATGCTGTGCAAAGAAGGCTTGAGGTTCCAACATCCCCGTAATAAGGTTTCAATGGAAATTTTTATGTCCCCATATAAATGATAAAATTATAGGATCTGAAGTTTAAAAGGGGGGGAGCGATCTTGGGTTCATTTAAAAATGGAGAGAGGGAGCAATTTCCACACTTTCAATACTTTTAATTCTGTGACAAATTTAGCTTGAATGTAAGATTTTGATCCTTCTGGTTCATGTTGAATTGGGACTGGGAATAACCTCTTACTGTAAGTAACATAGTTACAGAGAGAGAGACAGGAATGTGTATAAATATACTATATCTGATGCTTATTTGGATAAATAATATAAACAATTTGACAAGATTTTGTTTATGGAATGCTGTGATAGATATTTGTTCTGAGTGTATTTTTTTGTTGTTGTTAATAGATGGTATGGAGGTAGATGGAGCAGCAATGGAGGCCGGTCAGTTTGAGGATGCAGACGTTGAGCACTGGTAACAATGAAACTTCACGTTAAATAAAATATTTTGTAAAAAGCAGCACAACACAATACTAATAAACTCAATCTGATTGTGACGGATTGTTCTCTGCTGTGTGCTGTCTGTCTCGTTCATGTGTTATCTGACTGTTTCTGTAGATTGATGTCATCTCAGCGGCCAATCTAAGCACCAGTGTTGCATCATGGGATTGGAGAAGAGGACAGCAACACTTCTTTTAAGGCTATCAGCTCTTTCTTGTACTCTCTTCCTGTGCCAGGCACTTCTGTTCTCGCTGTCAAACAAACCTTTTGCCCATGTACTTAAAAGTCCCTGCAGTCTTTTGTAGCTTCCTACATATTTGCTCTTATGTGTTGCTTTGGCGTTCTCATGTTGCATTGTGGTGTTGGTTTTCTGCTCATCCTCCTGTCTCCTCCATATAATATTAAACTTTATTTTTTTATATGAACAAAGTGTGCTGTTCTGCACTTCTGTGATGCAACCAGCTACTGTAGACTATTGTGATGCATCCCCACATTGCCCTTATGCTATTCCTGACCGTAAAAACAAAACATAGAGTTTCTGTTTTGTACCTAATGACCAATTTAATATCCGACTGTCTGTCAAGAAGAGTTAATTTCTTTGTATGAAATTGTCAATAAATTCATAGTTTTTGTATGAGTATTTTGCTTGATTTATTATCGTTCAACCGAGATTTAAAAGCTTCACTAAACAAACCTACAGAGAATTATTACTAACTCAGCTCCACTTTTTAGCCTCGTTTATGTCTTGGTTTTATTTGTCTTTCCAGCAGCAGGGTTTTTTTTTTAAATCAACCAATCTCTGATAAACCCACTGCACTCAAACCAGAGCTAAAAGTAGTGAATATTGGACTTAAATTCATGAGGTGAACACACAATGATAATGTTGATGTTGAACTGTTTGTTAGATGTGTAAATGGGCAACTTTTTTAATATGTTCACCATAACAAGCATACACGGTGATGATATATCCGCTTCCTGTTTTAAAATCAGTTACTGTAGCTTTAAATATAAATCAAAAATATCTTTAGTAGACGGCAGCAGCAGATTGAACCACTGGCAGAACAAGACAAATGCAAGTTTTGTATTTGAGCTTTCACACTGAGGGTTACAATATGTACTTCAGGGTTTGTGTGAGCAGATTGTCTATGGTTTTAAAACTGTGATTAGGTTAATAGAGGTACAATAATCATAATGCAGGTCTGACTGTATCTGTCAGCTGCACAATTAGTTATTTTGCCAGATGTGACTGACATAATGTTGATGGTTTAAGGAGCAAAATTATTGAAAACATTGTCTCAAACATCTTAAATATTTCAATATGGGGCAACTGTGCAAATTAATCTTTTAGTAAGTTTGATCTTTTTTTATTGATTAATTTGTCAATAAAATTAATTATGTTTTATAATTAAATGATAAATTGTTTTTTATGAAAACAATAAAAATAGTCCATCACAACTTCCCAAAGGCCAACACCCAAAAAATTTACTTAATCAAAATTGTTTTGTTGTCTTTCTGTTGATTGGCTAATCAAGTTTCAGTCCTACTGTGCACCATTTAGACATGAAAATAAACTTAAATATGTCAATTTAATAATGGGATCCGACAAAACAGCAATTACACATTTTTATTTGCCTTTCCAGTTTTTACAGAGAATTCTAAGGCACCGGTTTAATCTGTGCTAACATTGACAAAGACCTTTGTACAGTACATGCCTACGCTGTGCCTGACTCTTGTGTCACATTAAGTATAACATTTAAATATATAATCTGTCTGTGAAGCACTTTGTTAAGAAAAATGCTACACAAATAAAGTTTATTGTCATTAGTATCACAGAACATCAAATCCTGAACTTTTCATTATAAATATTTCAGTTGATTCATTGATTAATAATAAATTGTGCTATTACACAAAAACAATACTTGGCTCAATGTATATTATTGCAACTACAATCTTGTTTCATTACCAGATATCAGGCTGTGTGGATCCTGTCTGATCCTGAAAATCAAATTTGATTCCATATCTGCCTAAAACTCATGCAAGTACAAGGCAAACTTTCTTTTGTTAGTTATAAATGTTAATATTCCAGTGACATTTTCTGAACAGTTATAGAGGTGATCCAAAAGAAATCGTTTGCAGCGTTTACAGGTTTTGAATCGGAATCGGAGTGTAAATGTAAAATAACTCATGCATAGACATTATTTTTTGTGTTTGACCAACCACCTCGTTAAGGAAAAAGCCAGTCAATTTGCATGCCCTGTCCCAGTTCTGTCTTAGACAAAAACATAACAAATTAGTGTCTTTACTTTTCTGTTTAGCTTCTAAGATGTGCTCTTCAGGTGAAATCATCCAAAAGACTTATTGTCTGGATTATCACAGTCCATTGTGGAGGGGGAAAAAAGTTCAGGTTGAGGTCTTTATAAAAGAGCATGTCAGTGTTCAGTAGTCTTCTTTTTCTATCTGCTGACGACTGAAATCAGCAGCAGCTTAACAGTCTGTCAGAAACAAAATCTCCACGTGTGCTCTGGGTTTGCACGGCCGCCCGGCAATGCTCACGTCGTCTTCTTGGTCTCCAGCGGGAGAGAAAGAGACGGTGATTTCCTCAACAGCGAAGGGACGAGTTTGTCAAACAGCAGCACTGAGCTCATCATACCTGGAACAGCAAGAAGGTAGAAGAAGAGACGAAGAAGAGGACCAAGAAAAAATGTTTATATTAATATTTAGAGAATATTTGATTTGCTTTAACGAACCAACTTAATTTGATAGAACTTCAATCTACAGTTTACATCTCTGTGATATTTCACAGTATGATACTAATGTGAAAGAATGTGGAAAAGGGGTGTTATCTACTTCTTTATCATTGTGTCCTTTGTCTTGTACAAATGATTCATTATCTGTGTATGTATGTATATAAATCAATATGTTTAAAAGGTGAATTATGTTCCTCAGAAATTAAGTGGAGTTGAAGTATTGTAATAATAACAATAATACATTTTATTTCTATAGTGCCATTCAAGATACTCATTGTGGCAGTGAAGCAGGTCTGTAAGGTAGGAAGGGGCTTGGCAATAGACGGCTTTGTGCATGAGGGGGAAAATTTTATAATGGATGTGTTGGGGAACAGGTGGAGAGTAAAAAAGCAGAAAAGTAAATTGCTTCAAAATTGTACTTCAGCAACTCTCCACCGACAACAGGGATCTGTATTCACGCTACTTTTATAATGATAAGACAACTGATGTCATTTCTGAAATATAGGGAGATACTTAATGAGCTGTTGTCAGAGAGAAAGCATGTTAGTCTTTGTGCATGAAACAAATCAGTCATGAGAATTTAACATTTAAGCAGCTTATCAGATTTGTGTCAACACTTTCAACACGGCGGCCAGAAGGCGGCCAGAAAGAGACAGTGACACACACTTAAACACAGAACTGCTTGTTCCCAGACTGACTTCTTATCTTATTAGATGCTAAAAACTAGACCAGTGCTGTCATGTCGGTTGTCTTCTTTTGAGTTATTGCTCTGTCTGTAAAGGTTCTCAGTCATCCAGGTCATAGTTCTCCAAGGAAGATCCTTGAAGATGTTTCATTTCTCATCCGAGAGACTTCTCACAGTTCTGGTTCTGGAGGGTGTTCATCCAAAACTGCTTAGCAAGATCATCCAGGTCCAGAACTGAGGGAGTCTCTCGGATGCGAAACACGAAACATCTTCGAGTATCTTTAACCAAATCTAGTTGCCTTGATGTTAACCTTCTTAGGAGACCTCTATTATGTTTGGTGGCTTTCATCAATACATGGACCTTTTTTAAGTGTTTAACAAACTTTCCACTCAGCAGCAATAATGTTACGTGCTAATAATAATGATCCAATAATACAACATGGACAGTGGCCATTTAGCATAATGACTATTTTTACTATTGATAATTAAAGTAAATTTTGTTGCTAATCCTTCTGTACTTCTGTAACCTCAGTGAACGTTTGAAAGCAGGACTCTTCCTTCAAATGGTTCCTTTTACCTAAATAAATTAACTGAAAGCTTTATCCGCCGCTGTGTACTTGTGTCATATCTGCTGTGTTTTTATTGTGTGTTTTGTTAATGTTGTTAGGATGAAAACGTGCTTTAACATGTCCTTTGGACTAGATTGATGTGTCTCTAAATTTCAGAACGTGATAAAAAGATGTCAGTTCATTCCTCTCAATTGACTAATCGATTGATTGACTTTCACCATTCATCAAATGAATATATGCTGTGCACAGTGTTGGTGAGCATGTCACAGGGTTTCTGCAGCCTTCACTGATTAAAAATATGTCCTTTTAAAGACATTTCTATATAATTTAACACCTGTTTCACGGTCATATCGGCCAAAGTATGAAAGATGAATTTAATAACATCTATATACCATTTTTGTCAGGACTTCCCAGCAGGATACAATAATGACTGATAAAATAATTAATAAATATTTTTTCAACAAGATGAAGAGATGGATTAACCAATTAAAAAATATAAATACAATTAATTTATGGTTTACACATAAATTTCACATAACGTCAGACGTATGAAACAACTAAGCTGAGTTTTCCAGCCCCATTTTACTAAAATCAGATATCTTTGAAGGCCTTTTATTATTTTAGGACACTGAAATCTGAAATCAATGCTTTTTAAAGACAAGCACTGCATCTGATATCAGCATGCATCAGTGGGTCTTACCCAGCAGCGGGCCCAGCCAGTAGACCAGGCAGTACTCCAGGAAGGAGTTTCCACTGCAGGGGAACTGTGTGGAGAAGGCCAAGGCCGGGTTAAACACAGCTCCTGTCATGCTGCCACCTGGACACACACACACACCACACACACACACACACACACACACACACACACACACACACACACACACTTGTATTAATGAACTTTTAAAGACCCAAACTGTTCATTTGTGTACAACTCCTAAACAAACAAGTTTTCAGTTTTTCTCAGTAGAAAGATATATTGTATTATATATTCATTATATATAGCAAAGAAAAGATGGCATACAGAGAAAATAGTTTTAATCAGTTGACTTGTAAATTCTCAGTGTGTCCCATCAACACTCATATCTTCCTTCCTATATTTCCTCAACCTTTCCAAAGTAATGTCAGATTTTTGACAGCAGTTATGATCAGTCAGATAGATAAACTTGAAGTCATTCAAAGGTTAGTGTTATGGTGTTAGAAGTGGAAAAAAAATATGTGGCTGTACAGCTCAGGAAATCATTTCATCGCTGTAATCGGTTTCGTATTTGTTCGTGAGAAAGTTCTTAGAAGAAACATGAGATGTTTGTACAAACACTGTAGTGCTTTATACAAAGCAAATGATGCATCGGGCTCTCCTCTATGAGACACAGGAAGATTTACAAACTAGTCTGTGATGTGATCTGTTGGTTCTCTTCAACCTCACTAACTGGGAGTATGGCTGTTTTTAGTTTACATGTATTAGTTTGTTATTGTGAGTGGGGAACATTCAGCTTCATGACATTCTTTTGGGCATCACAACTTTTAATTTGAATAGTTAGCAGTTATATTAGCAGTTATATTATCAACACCTACACACCACAAACAGAAAACATTGTGGATCATGTGCACAAGAGAAGGCCCACATAGCCCAACAAATCTCAAGTGTGTTGTTAATTTTGAGTATTTTGTTAACAGACCTGAAGCTGAATTAGAGACCAGCTAAAAGTGCCAGTGAGCAAGACACTGAACCTCAGACTCACAGAGGCTGACCTCTGACCTCACATCATCAGTCTAATAAACACTGCAGTTGGACTAATCGATTAGAGTCATTGTCATACCTGCATAAACCACC